GTTTCATTCTGCTGTGCACAGGGTCACTATGGGTCGGTACTGACTCGATGACACCTAACAACAACAACAAACTAGCTGAAAATAAAATGGATCTTTGGGGTCTTTTTTCTACCTGTGGTCTGAAGAAAACAGAGCACATAAGTGTGCTATTGTTGTTGTTGTTGTTGTTAAAGTGCCTTTGGGTCAGTTCCGACCCATAGCGATCCTGTATAGGGTTTCTGAGGAGTGGCTGGTGAGCTTGAACCACCAATTTGTAGTTCAAACTGACTTTGCAGTCCAGCGCATTAGCCCACAGTGCCAGCCCACCCAAATCCGACCTGTTTACTCAATGCATACACTAAGCAAATAATCTGAGAAGCTGGAAACTATGTTGAAGAATGTGGCATCAGAGCTAGAGGCTCATTGACAACCTGCGATACGCTGATGACACAGTCTTGCTTTCTGGAAGCAAAGAGGCCTTGACATACTTGTCGTACTTACTGATGAAGGTCAAAGACTCCAGCTCTCAGTACGTGTTGCACCTCAATGTAAAGAGAACAAGCCTCACAATTGTACCAATAAATTTGTTGTTGTTGTTGTTGTTAAGTGCCATGGAATCGGTTCCAACTCCTAGTGACCCTGCACAGGGTTTCCAAGGCTTGAAATCTTTATGCGAGCAGAAATCCCCATCTTTCTCCCATGGAACAGCTGGTAGTTTCGAACTGCCGACCTTGAGGTTAGCAGCCCAGTTTGTAGCCACTACGATAGCATCATGATAAACGGAGAAACAACTGAAGTTGTCAAAGGTTTCATTTTACAGGAATTCACAATCAACACCCATGGAAGCAGCAGCCAAGAAATCAAATGACATGTTGCATTGGGCAAGTCTGCAAAAACCTCTTAAAGAGGTTGTTACTTTGAGGACTAAGGTGCTCCTGATCCAAGCCATGGTATTCTCAATAACTTCATATGAAAAAGCTGAATAATGAATGCAGAAGGCTGTGGAAGAATTGATGTCTTTAAATGATGGTGAATATACCCTGGACCTGCAGGAGAATTAACAAATATGTTTCGGAGGAAGCACAGCTCGATTACTCCTTGGAAGGGAGGAGAGTAAGACTTCATCTCTTGCACTGTGAACATGTGGTCAGGAAGGACCAATCCCTGGAGAAGGATGTTATGCTTGGTAAAGTGGAGTTGCTGTTATTATGTGCCGTGGAGTCGGTTCTGACTCACAGCGACCCTGTACAGGGTTTCCAAGGCTATAAATATTTACGGGAGAAGAAAGCCTCATCTTTCTCCCACAGAACAGCTGGTAGATTTGAACTGCTGACCTTGCAGTTCACAGCCCGATTCGTAACCACTACGCTACCAGAGCTCCTTGGTAAAGTGGAGAGTCAGCTGAGAAAAGGAGGCCCCCAACAAGATGGATTGAGACAGTGGCTGTAACAATGGGGTCAAGTTTAGCAATGATCGTGAGGATGCTGCAGGACCGGGCAGTGAGCGTTCGGTTCTGTTGTCAGCACCTAGTAACAACAACAACAACAACAACAACAACAATGCTGTCTAACTAAGGTGCAGCTGACCCAAGCAATGGGTTTTCTTTTTCAATCGCTTCATATGCATGTGAAACCTGGACAGTGAATAAGGGCAGCTGGAGACGAATGGACGCTTTTGAGTTATGCTTGGAGAAGAATGTTGTAAGTACCATGGACTGCCCAAACAACACCCAGATCTGTCTTGGAGGACGTCCAACCAGAATGTTCCTTAGAAGTGAAGATGTCGAGACTTTCTCTCATACTTAGGACATGTTATCAGGAAGTCCCTGGAGAAGGACATCATGCTAGGTAAAGTGCAGGGTCAGTGAACAAGAGGAAGACCCCCAAGGAGATGGGCTGACACAGTGTCAGCAGCAATGGGCTCAAACACGACAACAATTGTGAGACTGGTACAGGACTGGAGAGTGATCATTCTCTTGTGTGTAGTGTTACTATGAGTCAGAACCAACTCAATGTCACCTACCAACAGCAGTCCTGTCTTATTAACATACGGTGGTGGTGGTGGTGGTTACGTGCGACGGAGTTGCTTCCAACTCAAAGCGACCCTGTACAGAATTTGCAAGGCTGTACATCATTACAGGAGCAGAAAGCCTCATCTGTCTCCTGCAGAAAAGCTGGTAGTTTCGATAGCATATAGAGATTGGGATTTACAACACAAAAAATGGAAAATTATCTCCCTGGCATTGAGGTAATTGTGACTCGTAGACCCTAACTGGTAGAGGATGACTGTTCCCTAGGATTTTTGAAGCAATAAACCTTAATGGAAGGGATCGGTCTCATCTTCCTCCCAGGGAGTGGCTGGCTGATAGATTCAAACTGCTGAGCTTTTAACATGTAACCCACTGAGCCACGGTGTTCCTTGATAATATCACAGAAAGGAGGACCTCTGTGTACCAAGCCATCCCTGGGGTCGGGGGCGTGGGGAGAACCTTGTGACATGTGCTCTCATGAGCCAACACTTTGGTGAACACTCCCTTCCTACCCCCGTCACCAACAGTGGCTGATTCTCAACCTAGAATGAGGACCCAACCCCTCCACTTTTGCTGTTGTTAGCTGCCATCAGGTTAGTACCAAATCATGGAGACTTCATGTCCGGATAAAAAATCAGAGCGTCTCCCAGTCCTGCGGGGATGCTCAAATCCACCGTGGCAACTATTAACCGTTCTACTCGTAACCAAGCCCACTGCTGCCAAGAAGACTTGGACTCATGGAGACCCCACAACAGAGTAGGACTGTCCATTACTCCAGGAAAAGGTCCCCAGACCCCAGCAGTCAAGATGTGTGACCTCACCGAGGACCAGACGGCAGAGTTTAGGGAGGCCTTCAGCTGTTTGACAGAACAGGTGATGGCAAGGTGTGGGGAGGTGATGAGGGCCCTGGGCCAGAACCCCACCAGTGCCAAGGTGCTCAGGGTCCTGGGAGAGACCAAGGGTGACGAGATAAACATGAAGGTGCTGGATTTTAAGCATTCCCTGCCCACACGGCAGACTGAGGGCTATGTTGAAGGATTTCAGGTGTTTGACACGAAAGGGAACGGCACTGTCCTGGGTGCTGAAATCCTGCATGTCTTTGTCACACGGGGTGAGAAGATGACAGAGGAAGTATAGGTGCTGGTGGCTGGGCACGAAGACAGCAATGGTTGCATCAACTACGAAGAGCTTGTCCGGATGGTGTTGAGTAGCTGAGGGCAGCCTGTCCTGTGTCCCCAGCGCCCTGTACCTTTCCTGTGTGAGAATGTTATCTAGCCCTGAAGGTCTCCTTGGCAGTCACCGTACCTTTCCCAGATTCCCTCTCTTGGATAATGCTTGCAAGCAGCAGTCACCAAATAAACTTGCTGTCTGTGCTCAAATTTGAAGAAGAAAAAGAAAAAAGCCATAAGACGTCCCCCTGGGGTTTCCATGGAGTTTTCTGGGCTGTGATCTTTATGGATCTTTTTCGGGCAGTCCATGGTACTTGTAACATTCTTCTCCAAGCATAACTCAAAAGCACCAGTTCGTCTCCAGCTTCCCTTATTCACTGTTCAGCTCTCACATGCATATGAAGCAATTGAAAAAAAAAAACCCATTGCTTGGGTCAGGTGCACCTAGACTCAAACTAGGTCATCCCCTTCAGAAAAGCAGGCTTACTCAGCTTTGTTTGAAATGTCCCCAAAGGGCACTGGTCTCCACTCAGAGAATCCCTGAGGATAGTCACTGAAATAAATGTTAGCCTGTCGAAAGTGAGATAACTCATCAGGACAGATGGCCCACCGGAACTGGACAGAAATTTTACAGAACTGGAAATTCAGAGAGGTTAAGAACCTTGCTCAAAATCACACAGGTTCCAGAAACTCTTTCAACTTTCTGAGAGTTCAGAGCCTGAGGAGTAGACTCTGGGTCCTAAAGGTGTGTCTCCACTCACCGCTCCCTTTTCTCTGCAGGGAATTCACTGTCAGCCTTACTGGAAGGCAAAGCCACACTCACCTTCCTGAACCGAGCGGAAGATTACACCATCACCATGCCCTACGCCCACTGCAAAGGTGAGAGGGGGCTGAGCTGACCCCGACCCTGTAGGGCTGAGCCCAAGCTCCTTCGTTCTAAGTGCCTGGGAGAGAGGAGAGGGACTCTTCTGGTTTGTTTGGAGAGCTTGCCTTCACTCATTCACTCTTTAATGATATTCCAGGTGAGTATGTAATTCCAAAGGAGCTCTGGTAGCGTAGTGGTTATGAGTTGGGCTGCCAACCTCAAGGTCAGCAGTTCGAAACTACCAGTGGTTCCGCAGGAGAAAGATGAGGTGTTCTGCTCCTGTAAAGATTTACAGCCTCGGAAACCCTGTGCAGGGTCACTATGAGTCGGAACCGACTCCAGGATACTTAACAACAACTATGTAATCCCAGGTTGATTACTACTTTATCCTTTCTTTGAAGATGTTTGTATTACTGCCCCCTGGAGTCTGCTGTGAGCTATGACGACTCAGCCTAGTTCTTAGGTCAGCTGCTTCCCTCTCTAGCTACGTTTACGCCTTTTGTTTGTCTTTGGTGTTCTGCAACTTCACTATCCAATAGTGTGTCATGGTTTTTGTTTTGTTGTGCGTTTTTTTTTTTGTTTTAGTTTGAACTATTTTAACCTGAAGTTCCATGGCTTTGATCAAGCCTGGGGAGAAAAATTAATGGTGGGATCATTCATTCTCTCTGTTGGTTAAGGGTTTTTTGTTTTGTTTTGTTTTTTATGTAGGAAAATCTATATATGACATAAAGTTTCCCATTTTGACCATTTTCAAGGGTGCAATTCAGTGACATTATTTATATCCACAGGGTTATACGACCATCATCACTATTTATTTCTAAAACTTCATCGCCCCAAACAGAAACTCTGTACCCATTAACCCATTAAACAATAATTCCCTACTGGCCTCTTCCCCAGCCCTTGCTAACCACTCTTCTATTTTCTGTCTCTAGACATTTGCTTCCTCTAGAATTTTCATGTAAGTGGGTGCCATACAACATTTTTACTTTGGTGTCTGAATTACTTCACGTAACATAATAATGCCAAGGTTCACCCAGCTGTGGAATGTACCAGTACTTTATTCTTTCTTATAGCTGAGTAATGCTTCAGTGTACAGATAGTCCGCATTGTGTTTATCCGCTCCTCTGTAGCTGGACACTTGGGTTGTTTGTAGCTTTGGACTCTTATGAATAGCATTGTTATGAACACCAGTGTACAATGGTCTGTTTGTGCCCCTGCATCCAAGTCTGTAGGGTCTATTCCAAAAAAGTGGAATTGATTGCTCGGTTAGTAAGTAACACTGAATTGTTTTGAATAAACAAGAAAAAAATATTGCTACAGCAGCTGCACTGTTTCAGTCTGGAAATGTTTTAGCTGTTTCTTATTTTATATTGCTACACCCCTGATTTCTCCATCTCTTTCTTCTAGAGTCCCAGGTAGACGTGAAGTAAACCGCCTCATTCATCTCCTTTTCTCTTTGCATTCTAGACAATGCTTTAGATCTGTCTTCAGTGCTGATTTTCCTGATGGTAAATGGATCCACTGAGATTTCGATTTCAGTGTGTTTGCTTGTTTTCCCAGGAGTTCTACTTGACTCTGTTTCAAATCTGCCGATTCTTTGACACTCATACCTTGATCCTTGGTCATGTTGTGAGCTCCCTTTTAAATGGCTTTAACCAGTATGACATAACGGCTTTATAGTCTGTATTCTATAATTCTAATATTGTTGACTCTAGCCTGCCCACTGCATGCAACAATGCCTTGGCAGATACTCAATAAACACTTGTTAAATAGATTGATGTATCTATTTGAGATTCTGGTTTTACTGTGGTTTTCTGGGCTCCAACATGGTTGTTTCTGTTCTACACAGGAAGTGTTGATTCAAATCCCAGACTCACCCAACAAGAGGCCTCTGCTTGCCAAAATTCCCAGAGTTCCATTGGTGTTTCTAACCCCAGACTAACACAAGCGTCACCCTGACTCTCTTACAACAGATGGGTTTTCTGCAGTGGTCCCTTTATTCTGAGGGTACAACTGTGTGACTGCTCAGCTTCGTGGAACTATCTCCATGTGATTCTGACCCAAGGTTTTCTCTACTGTCCCCATGGGGACCTCAGAGTCAAGGTCTCAGATCAGCCAATATTCTCTCTGGCCTGCAACTTTCTCTTCTTCCTCCTCATCCTTTTCTTTTTTGCTTCCCTGGAATTTCCCTTGTTTTCTTGTATGCTTCTTTATGCATTTGAAAGATCATTATATATACATATGTACTTACATACACATACGCACACACATACGTAATGGAAAATTCAAACACACTGAAGCACAAACCATACTGTGAACCCCAGGTTCTCACTGCACAGCAAGCCATCGTCTGATTTCATCCGTGCCTGACATACTCCCCACACCAATGTTTGGAAGTTAGTCCCAGCATGCTGTGTTGCTTGCGTATGTCATCATGTGTCTAAGGACATGGAGCCTTTCAAAATCATAATCACACCTCAAAAAATCTTAATATCATAGGGTCTAGAATCACTGTTCCAAGTTCCCCTGTCTATCTATCTAGATACACAAATACTTACATACTTATAAGGGAACCCTGGTGGTAACTGTAGAATAAGCATTGGACTGCTAATGGCAAAGGTCAGTGGTTCAAACCCACCAGCTGCTCCTTGGAAACTCTGTAAAGGGTCACTATGAGTCAGAACCAACTCCATGGCACTAACAACAACAACAACCTCCTTGTTTCCTGTCTTTCCATTACAAGATCCATAATGTCTTTTGTAATGTGAGTGGAGATTGATTCGCCATGCCTGGGTTCACTGCAAGATTGAATTCCTCCTTCAATCAGTTGTTGCCCAGAAGGTCCAGGGCATTTAGGATAAATGCCTGTTTTTTTTTGTCTTTTCAAACTTTTTCACTGTCGTCTTCCAAGGGTGGCCATAGCTGACGTTGTTGTTGGTTGAGTATTGTTTGGTTTGAACACATTTGATGGCTTGAGAACTTTCCAGTATGTTCTTCATTGATGCTGGGATGGTCTTGTCTTTGACCAATGAAGGACCCTTCAGGTGAACCTCTGAGTCCTTTTCACACAGCCCTAGTAGCTTTGCAAGGTTACTTGTGGCACAGTGGGTCATAGATTGGGCTGTTAAGCAAAAGGTCATCGGTTCAAACCCACCAGCTGCTTCATGGGAGAAAGATGAGGAAGTCTGCCTCTGTGAAGATTTATAGCCTCAGAAACCCAATGGGCCAATTCTATCCCATCCTGTAGGGTTGCTATGCATTGGAATCGAGTCCACTGCAGGAGATGTGCTGGAGTGTCCCTGGGTGGAATAAGTGGTGAACACACTGAGCTGCTAACCCAAAGGTTGGAGGTTCAGGACCACCTTGGAGGAAAGGTCTTCTGAAAGATCAGCCACGCAGGCTTCATGGGACATGGTTCTACTCTGGCATACATGGGATTCCCAGGAGATGATGGAGTTGGCTTGATGACGAGTAGACATTAGCACCTCTGCTAGCCTTCTTGCCCCTGGTGTGATCAGAGGAGCCCCGGGACACGTCATGCTTCAGACTTAGTGTCAGCCCCTTCTACACAAACTGTCCACGGACACTGGCTGCTTTTCTTCACAATTACTTCCATCCTGGTGGCTCCGTTTCTGGTGGTACTCAAGGTTCCGTGTCCCCTGGCATGCTCCTCTTTGTCCTAGAGTCGACAAAGTTGACCATTTGGTCTCCGTTAGATGTTTTTGTAAAGGAGTTCATTACTCAGGCGAGGTAGGCAGTATCTTATGAACCAGTGTGGGATTTTGTTCAAAAGTGGCCCAGGGACTGATTTCAGTTCAAGGTTTAAAGAGGTTCACAGGGCGATCATCGCAGGGAATCGTGTAGCTTCAACAGATCCAGTAAGTCTGTAGTTTGTCTTAATTTGAGTTCTGTCCCATGTTTTGCTTGCATCCGGTGAGGCTCCATCTGTTTTGGCCTTGATGAAAGCGATCGGCCCCCTCTGCCCATTTTGAATTTGTTGTTCTGCAAATTGCTGTACTTATTCCATTTTGTTTGATAATGAGCTCAGACACTCCCCTGGTTCCAAAGTCAAAACTACAAATAAAGATATGTATGGTCCAAGCAAGGTGGCCGCCTGGCCCTGCCCGCCTGGGTCCCAGTGTCTGCTGCTGTCCTGGGTAATGTCCATCTTGTGGGAGCTTTTCTCTCCTTGCAGGACACCCTGCCATCAAGGGAGGACATGGACAGCCTCCTTCATCATCTCCCCCACCACACTTGTTTCCCAGCAAGTGCACAACCTGAAGGCAGCCAACCAAGCCCCTGGGTTAAGGGAAGGGTACTTACTAGCCAGATTGACTTGCTTCTTCTTCATTTTTGAATGAGACCAATTTTATTCCATCTTCCTAGGTGCTTTGGACTAGAAGAGAACTTTGTTTCTTTAATCAGATGCGGACAGAAATGAAGATTTGTGTTTTCCTTCATTAATTAAAAAAAGCACATCTTAATTTAAAAAAATATGCTGGGGGCTGTCCTTGGGAAATGCATGTCCACTGGACATCAGGGGCTGGACACTGTCCTGAGGATGGACGTGGTTATCCCCTGCCTGGCACTGGGCACCGTCTTGGGGCCACAGCAGTGAGCAGGTGGACACTGCCCGTCAGAGCCGACATTGATGCGGGACCCCGGAGTCACAGAGACAGACCACAGTGACTCCCGGGAGTCCTGGTGGAGTTGACCCCCACTCCTGCCAAGGGCAGGTCACTTCCCAGACACAGGGGCCTGAGCAAAGGACCTGGGCAGGATGGAGTTGCCAGTCTTGACCCACCCCACACCCCGGGTTGAACCCAGTGGTCAGCAGTGCTAGGTGGGGTGATCACTGAGTGCTGGTGACCCGGCTATATTTCAGGAATCCTCTATGGTACCATGACCATGGAGCTGGGCGGCAAAGTGACCATCGAGTGTGAGAAGAATAACCTCCAAGCTGAACTGGAGTTCAAGCTCAAGGTAAGTTGGCCAAAGGGGAAGGGCTACAGTGGGGAAGGGATGGGCCTTGGGAATGTCCTTCTGCCTGTCCCTCATCCTACAAGGGAAGCATCTCTGGGTCTCCAGCAGGACAAATGGGGTCCAGGGCCGGGAGTGGGCAGGGCAGGGAGTGTCAAAGGGAAAGGCTGAGCTCACCCCTGTGTCCGCATGCTGAGTCCAGCTCTGGGTCTGTCCAACTGGCCTCCTATGTGCTGGCCCCATCCTCTGGGTCCCTTAAGGATGGTCCCTGTTCAGGCATACGGTGTCCCAGACAGCCGTTTTGGGGTTTTTTTTTTCTTAATTAGGAAAAATTAAGCCATTTTCTTAATTTACTTTAGCCACTGAATTACTCTCCCTTCCCTCCCATCCTTTGTAAGCATCAAAAAAATATTTCTTTTAACATGAAAAACCTTTTCTTGAGATTTTACGATACTGGTCCCATACAAGTTTTTTTGTTGTTGTTGTTGAAACTTTTGATTGTGAATTGATTGAAGGTTTGCAGAACAGATCATCAGTTTTACATTCAACACATCTTATACTTGGTTTCATCTCAAGGTTTGTGGCTCCACGTCCTCCCCTGCTTCTGATTTCCATTTCCCCCTCTTTCCCATCCCTTCCCAGCTTTGTCCTTCGGTAGATGCCGTCCTTTTGATCTTAATGGTTGGCCATCCCATAGTGAGCACATCTCACTAGTGTTGCAGTCCCCTCTAGGTACCCATCGGTTGCTTGGTTGAAAACTGGGCTCAGTGGGTGGCCAAGTGCCATAGTCTCAGGTTCTTCCTGTCTCTTTCTGACCAGTAAGCCCAGTCTTTTTTTTTATTATTATTTATAATTTAGAGTGTTGTTCCACTTTTCTCCCCCTCTGTGATCCCTTTCAGAGCAGTTGGCAGTGGTAGCTGGGCACCATCTAGTTCTTCTGGTCTCAGAATTGTGGAGACTGATGTTCACATGTCCCATGGGTCCACTGGACTCATTGATTCCAAGCATCTTCAATTCTCCTCACTCTCCTTTCTTCCACATGTGAAGAGACCAGTAGCTGCGCCTTACATGGCTGCTTGGGAACTTCTAAGATCCCACTCGCTACTCACCCAAGTCGAATGTAGAACACTATCTTTGTGGACTGTGTTGTTTTAGTTGATCATGGTGCCACCTGAGACCCCAGACTCAGCAACTCATCACCTCAAGGTGTTTGGTCTAAGAAGTTTTCATCATTTTGCCCCCTGCATGCTCCACCACATTTATAGGTGTGTTTGCAGCAATGGTAAATACCCGTGTACAAATATCCTCTTCCAGACCCTTGTGTTTTTGTGGGTATACGCTCACTCTGTCCTTGTATCTACCTGCAGAACATTGTTGGTGCAAGGTTGTATATATAGCACTGTTTATCCCCTATCCCCTTTAGTCCTGTGTCTTCACCTGTCTTCATCATTCTTTGCCAACCTCCCTCTTTTTGTATATTGCCCTCCCTGTCACCTGAGTTAACACGTGTCTGCCCTCTAGCTAGTGAATTACTCTCCCTTCCTTCTACCCCTGGTAACCATCTAAGAATGTTTCTTTTAGCATGAAAACCTTCTCTTGAATTTTTTTTGTTTTTGAGTGAAAATTTTCAGAGCAGATAATTAGTTTTACGATCCACAAATCATACACTTTCCTTTATTACATGGTTACAGTCCCCTCCATGTACCATCAGTGAACAGTATTTACCTCTAATCGTTTTACCTACTGTATTCCTCCCTGTGTCTCCCGTTTTCTTCATCTTTCCTCTGCTAACTTTCCTCTTGTATATTGCCTACCCTGTCACCCATGTTAACACGAGTCTATACTCTAACCCATGAATAGTTTTCCTCCCTCCTTCCCCCGTAACCGTCATAGATGGTTTCTTGTGTCAAGAAAAACTTTTCTTAATTTTTTACAACATTGGTCTCATACAATATGTGCCCTCTTGTGATTGTCTAATTTCACTCAGCATAACGTCCTCCAGGTTTATCTATACTGTGATGTGTTTCTCGCAGATTCATCGTTTTTTCTTCAATGTTGCGTAATATTCCATTGTGTGCCTGAGCCACCATTTAACCAGTCTGTTGATGGACACTTAGGCTGTCTCCATCTTTTGGATGTGTCCCTTGTAGGCAGCATATTGAAGGATCCTGTTTTCTTCTCCATTCTGCTCTCTCTGTCTCCTGACTGGTGCATTTAATCCATTTACATTTAGTGTAACATCGATAGGTATGAACCGATTGCTGCCATTTTGCTGTGTGTTTTGGGTTGTGTTTTTGTTTTTTGGGGTTTTTTTGGATTTTGTTTTGCTCTGTTTTGTTTTTGTGGTGCTGCTGGTTCCTTTCCCCCCACAATTTTCTGTGCTGAGTTGAGTTTTCATTTTCTTCATGTCTGTTGTGTTGATGTGTACTAAATCTTTCGGATTTTCCTCTTTTTAATTTTGATGTGTAGGTGATTTCATTTTCTTTGAGGATCCCCTGTAATTTATGAATTTTTTTCCTCCTATTTAAAGCAGTCTGTTTTATCTTGAATTCTACTTGATTTCCTTGCCATTTGGAAATTCTGCATCTCCTCTAGTGCCTCTTCTTGCTTTGTGGTTGACTTCATTATAAATTGGTATCTTGTAGGTTTGTTCTACTTTGGTGGTGGTGGTGATGTACCGTGGAGTCGGTTCCGACTTTAAATGTTTCTAAATCTGGATTGAGTTCTGGGTGGTGTTGTCATGAATGGTAATCTCAGGTTGTTGTCTGCTGTTGTCGGTTCTCAGTCCAAAGAACACCCCTAAGCATTTTTTGAAAAGTTGGTCTGGTCATTACAAATTCCTTTTAACTTATGTTTATCAGGAAATGCCTTAATTTTGCAGTCGTATTTGAGGGACAGCTTTGCAAAGTATGTGATTCTTGTTGTTGTTGTTGTTGTTGTTAACTGCTGCTGAGTTGGTTTCGACTCATAGCAACCCTGCACAGGGTTTCCGAGGGCAGACGGTGGATTTGAATCGCCAACCTCATGGTTAACAGTCCAGTGTTTATCCTACTGTGCCACACCAGGTCTTAGTTGGCGATCTTTTTTTCTTAGAGTTTTATATGTGTCCTCCCATTGCCTTCTTGCCTGCATGGTTTCTACTGAGAATTCAGAGATTCTCTTTTGTAGGTAACTTTTTGTTTTTTCCGAGCTGCTTTCAGGATTCTTTGCTTGTCTTGATTTTAGAAAGTTTTATTATGGTATGTCTTGGTGATCTTCTATTGGGATCTCTCCTGTTTAGGGTTTGTTCGGCTTCTTGTATGCGTATCTTCTCACTTTTCATGATGTTGGGATGTTTTCTTCCCACAACTCTTCAGCAATTTTCCCTGTGCTTTTTATTATCCCTTCCTGTTTTGGAATTCCAGTCCCCCATAATTTATTCCTCCTCATGGTGTCCCACATAACTCTTAGGCTTTTGGGGATTTTTTTTCATTCTTTCTTTCTGATGAATCTTCTGTCATACTAATCTTGAGAGCTTTAACTTCAAGCTCACTAAGTCAGGCTTCCGTTGCTCTGAATCTACTCCTTTGCCCTATCAATGTGTTGCCCGTTTCTGAAATCATAGAATTAATCTTCTGGATTCTTAATTGCAGGTTTTAGATTACTTCAAAATTTCTGTGTGTTCTTGTAGTGTTTTTCTAAATTCTTCTGAATAATTTCTGGGTTCTCTTTGCTTTCCTTGCTCTTTCTGTCAATCCTTTTAAGGCACCTAAATATCATTCTTTCGGTGTTTTATCAGTCTGTTCCATCACCTTTTCTTCCTCAGAAACAGTTTCTGGCTCTGCATCTTGGCCATTTGTTGGAGTCATTCTGTCATATTTCTTCTTGTTTAGTGTGAACTAAAGTTGTCTTTTGTCTCTGATGCATTATGGGTTGTCATTTTTGTGTTTAATGAATAGTTTATGTTGATGTGTTCTTAGGTTCTCACCAACTCTCTTCTGTGGGTGTAGTTTAAGAACAGAAGCCCGTGCACTGTTCTTGTTCGCCGTTCATGTTCCTCAGTGTAAGCCAGGTTTGGCTCGTGTTACCTGCTGTCTAAAGTTGATCGGATGGTATACTACTTGGCATTGACTTTTCCCCAGTGGATGGCGCTTCAGAGGGCACAGTTATGGCTGGCCTGTATGGGTACGGTTGCTGTCTTCTGTTGACTGGAAAGACAGAACCCCTCTTACACACCCACAGAAGGAAACAAAACCAAATAAATAAGCAAGAAACCAACAATAAAAAGAGAAGATAATAAAGAGAAAATAAGAAATAAAAACAGGTAGCAACCAAAAATATGTATATTGTTGTTGTTTAAATGCCGTTGAGTTGGTTCCGACTCATAGTGGTCCTGCATAGGGTTTCTGGGGAGTGGCTGGGGAGTTTGAACTGCTTACCTTGTGGTTCAAGCCGACTTTGCAGTCCAACGCATTAACCCACAGTGCCACACCACGACTCCAAAAAAATTAGAGGGCAGGGAACTGGAGCTATAGAAGAGAAAAATAAGAGAGGAAATAAAAGGAAGAAATTAATTTCAAAAACACTTAGAAAAACCGATAGGATGAAAAGGGAGTAGAAAGTAATAAAGGGGAAGAAAAGAAGAAGGGAAATAAGAAAAAAAGGAAAAACAAAAGTAGAGATAGAAAGGATAAAATTCAAGGGAATGGAGAGAGAAGAAGAAAGAGGAAAAAGAACACACAAACAAACAAACAAAAAATGAAGCAACAAGAGGAGAAAAACAAACCCCAAACAAAACCAATAAAACAGTGCAGCTGTCGAACCTGAAGAGGAGAACACTCTGGAGGGGGGCTCCTGCAAGCCAGGGTGCTCACTACGTGGGTGTGAAAGGGATGTGTCAGCAGAATTCTGGCCCTGGATAGAGCTCCTATTGGTCTCAGCGGCATCTACATTCAGGACACTCAATCTGGAATAGTTTCTGGAAGCCCTTGATGGAGCTGGTTTTGGTGTCTGTTAGGACCACAGGGATGCTGACTATAAAATGCTGGTTGGTGACTCTGTGGGGTCTGTAGGTCCTAAGTCAAGCCCTCCTGAATCCAGGCACCAAAACGACGTACCAAAGTGGCCCAACCACGTAGCTCTGAACTCCCACAGAGCAGGAGTTTTGCTGGAGGTAGATGAGGGTGGGAAACATCGCTGGTCACCAGGAGCTGTTGTTGTGGTTAGGTGCCATCGAGTCGGTAC